GAATATCATCGGGAAATAAACGTGCGTAATAAAAAAAAAGAAAGAGCGCAATAAAAAAAAGGGAGAGGCGGATCTCCGCGCGCGTTACTGCGAAAGTTCGATTCTCTCTCGCGAGTGGCGATCCTTCGAATGTGACAGGATAATTATCGTAAATCCTCTCCGCGCGAGGTGGACGCGCGCGGTGGAAACTGCCGCGCGCGGGAAGTCGTATAGCGAAGACCCCCGCGTAGCGTCGTAAACCGCTTCGTAACGGCTTGCGCGAGCGTGTCGCAAGGATGGTGGATAAGGAAGAAACGGCGCGGGGCAAAACTCGGCGTACTCGACAAACGGTCATGTAACCAACGTACGGCTATACGTATATATACACGTATTGTTTAGCGGCGTATACACCATCGGCTTTTGAGCAATAGGCGGTAGGTTAATTAGCGTGGTCCCCCGTGAAATTCGTGTAATAAGCAGGCTCGTTCTTGTTCGTGCGTGAAGCGATGAGGCAACGGAAGATGGATATCGTATACAGGCGAGCCTGGGAGATCCCGCGTTTTCCCGCGGATCCAGAAGCGTTCATTAATATTCGGCGTCGTTGGCGCAATCGCGAGGAGCCGCCTAAATGCATCCGCAATTTCATATGTAAAGTTAAAAGACTGCAATTGTATACACCCGAAATAAACAATCTTAGAATAAGTTAATCTCCGAATAATATTTCTTCATAAAAAGCACGAAAGGACAATATCCTCTATTTATATCTTTGACATCGTGGACGCTGTTGCGAACTGACATCCCGATGACGTTTCCCCGATATTATTGATTTTATAAAGGTCTTTTTTTTACGAAAAAGGAATTCTCGCGATTTACAGTGTATCTTTTCATCTTAAATTTTTTTTTATTCACTATAACGAGATGAAATTGAAGAAAATGCGAACTTTTGGAGGCAACGCAGACGGAGTCCCGTGACTTCTAATGCTCATCTTAATTGTAATTGTACAAAATTAAGCGTACAAATTATGCGCGTTCTCCGAGAGAACGTCTCTCTCTCTCTCTCGCGTAATTTACTCGTTCCTTCTCAAAAGAGTAATAACGTAAAAGCGCTCCTCGTCTTGAACGTCGCGTACACAGCCGCAAATGGCAGGCACTTTATAATCATTAGCGTGAAATTCGATTCTCCGCCGAGTGACGACGCCGATAGCCGGGAGAGCGCTGCATCTACGATCTCCGTCCTGCGAGCGAGAGGACGGATGTCGTACGGTAGGGAGAGTAAGGACAGATTGCATTAGACCGGAGGGACGAGGGGGGAGGGGAAGGGAGGTAGAGATGCGAAAAGGGGGGCACACACACGCCGTGTGTTATGACATAATTGCTTAAGAAAGTTCGGAATGCGCGCACATAGACACGTGCAGGCAGACAGACGGACGGACAGACAGCAGGCACACGCGCACACGTGTGATGTGGAAGTAGTCCGTGCCCCGTTACGTTCGTTTCGCAAAACTTGCCGCGCTATAATCGACATCTGCCCCTCTTCCTGCTCCCTCTCGCACACAGGAGGATGTGTGTAATTGTATCGTGCCCCGAGGCACCAGAACGTCGGCCACCTCGTCCTCCGCATTTTTACAACGCCGGCGACCTTCCCCTACTTCGCGAGCGCAGCCAAGCGATTTCCCGCTGTCTTTCCGCTGTCCCGCAGGAAACGGCGGTACGTTTCCGAAACTTTATATACAAATCGAAAAATTGAAAGAGAAAAGAATATATTGCAAACGCTCCGTGTAACGTCGAGATTTTTTTTTCACGAAAAACACGCAGATCCGACAAGATCGATGGCGTTTCGCGCTAGTCGTTGTCCGCGAAAATAAAAGAGACGAGCACGTTTTCCTTTTGTACCTTTTTTTTTACGGAATAAATACAGATGTTAGCTTTCTCTAAGATTTTTACTTCCGGTGCGTGGAATCATTTCCATGTCGAGTCTTCAATTGCCGACGAGGATATAATGAGACTTAAAGACTCGGCGCGCGAGATTTTACAGTTTCCGTAATTCTCCTTTTCCCCGCGTCATGATTGCCATTAGTGAACGCATCATTTAAGACCCATACAGCTATTCCCCGGAGAAAATGTGATACGAATTACGTTTGTATCGCGGAAAAAAGAATCACTCAACGTCAAAAAAAAAAAACAGAAAAAGAAAACTGGCGCGATATCTTCATACGGGAATATTCTGCTGCCGCGCTTTACAGCCGCAACGCTGGAATTATAACTCCTAGCGTTAATATCTCTCATCGGGTTTCATCCACTCTATCCAATCTCGTCTCGCGTTGGGCAACGCCGACGTACACGATTATCCGGTAAAACGCGTTCATTTTCGTTTCCGGTTCAAGGCGACCGGTCTCTCGCGCGCGGCACGCGTGAAACGGGGCTTGCAGTGGGAAAGGGCAAAACCGAACCGGCCCCGCCGAACTATCACTAGTACCACTGTATTCCACGGGCCGTTGCTCCTCGTAACCGCGTGTCCCGATCACCGCCCACCCCGCCCGCGCCCCGGCCGGCCGTCATAACCGCGCACCGCGCCGGTTTCGTGCCGCCAAAGTGCCGCGGCCGCGGTGCGAAATAATTAAGCATCGGCTTATTACAGTGTTACGGTGTCGGTCCGTTCCGGCGCGATTCCGCTCGCGGTTCGCCGTAAATCAGCTTATCCCGTTCGAGTGCGCCGCGATTTTCACTTGGAGTGTATTACGGATTATGAGTCGATTTCATGTCACGATCGTCGGCCGACCGGAGAGGGAGGGGGGGGGGAGAAAAAAAGTAAAAGAAATAATCGCGCAATAATTCACGCCGTGGTTTCGCGCGCGCGCGCCCACGAATGAAAACCGAATTCACCGCCGTATATTTTTATAGTCTCGACTTAGCACTTTTTTTATAGCCTTCTATTACTTTTGAATCGCCTGCCTCAAGGACGTATCGGATGGGATACGGTTGAAATGTAGGTCGATATTTTGAGCCGCGAACGATTTCAATCGGTTTACCTTTTATCGCGGCACGATTCAGATTATTTACGCGAGAAGTTCAATTATTTATCTGAAATTTAATTCGACACTCGATTTAGATTAAATCGGAGAGGCAAATTGTAGTATTAATGCAGGTGTATACATATACTTGTTCGAAGTATATCTTTTACAAATTGATGTCAGCAATGTAACGTCACGGATATATCGAATTGATTCTCAACGTTCAATTTATCGCGTCTTGAAACTAGTCTTACTTAGCTGAGTTTCTCGGCAGAAGCGCTATAAATACGGGTTCTTACATTCACGTTGAAGCAAGTTAGAGTTAGCTTTTACACCATTTACCTAACGGATACTGCATACTAACTCATTTCAGAGTCTTGCTCATTTTATCGACGTTAAATAAATTAAACATCTTCGGGTCAAGGAAGATAATGAATTCTCTAATGAGAACGCAAAGAGGACAACACCGTCTATCTGCTTGCTTAAATGTCGTAATTAAATCTTGTAGAAGGTACGCTATTCTAAAACTAGACGCGCAGCTGCATGGTCGAGATGCGCGCGCGAGATTATATTACAGTGAAAAAATAGATGTGGAAATCGGAACGACATATAAGCCGGAAAATAATTATGCTAATTACTCGGTGGAAGCAGTTAACTGTCATTTATGCAACTCTTCACAATTTCAAAAAGAAAAACGCATTTTAATTGTAAACGAGAAATTGTCCAGTCGCCGCGGCGACGAAAAGCGCTCGTGAAATGTAACACGTTATAGGATACAACGAGTTTCGAGTTAACTGTAGCGAATATCCGCGAAAAACATGCCACTTTGCAGTAAAAGCTGGAATGTCCAGCGCGTCGATTATCGCGACAAATTGACACCGACTAGTGCTTCGGACATTCGGACACGCCATGCTTTCCGCCTTTCTCTCTTGATATCCGATTGTCAAAGCGTGGTCAGTGAAACTTTTAGAATCAAGTTTAATATTTCCAAAGCTCGAGCTCCTCTTTCTCTAGCGTGAGAAAGTTCGCGCTTTACGAAAAAAATTGAGCGTACATAAATGCATGATTTTTTGCCCCGAGAAACGATTATTAAAACGCGAGAAAGCAAATTCAGATTTCAAGATTACGTAATATTAAATTGATTCTCATGATCCATTTATAAAACCGCGTCAAAATTAATTTTAGCCTGAATTTGTCAAAAGAAATGTAATTACGAGTATGAATCTGCAGTGGCCGATTTTCGTGTCGACGGTCTTATATTTAAAACCGTTTTAAGTACCGTATTAAGATGTCATGAGCCAACCGCCGTATTCGTATCTCAAGACATTACTTAAAATGATCTTAAAATAAAAACGACCTACAAATATCGACCTGTAATTTTCCCATAAAAAAAAATATTGCCGCTATTAAGTCGTGCAAATTCTGATTGTGCAAGATTAAAGTCTTTTGTTTTGCAGCCGCTCTTCTTAAGCAAAACTTCTGCAGGGAAACTTGATTAAATTGTATATTATGAACTGAAGTTTCACATGCCAGGGTTTTACCGCGTTTTCTTAAGATCTTAGTTAAATTAGTTATTTAATAATACTCCTATTGTGTGCACTGCTATACGCAGATAAAGAACATACAAAGATTTATTCTATTGTCCACGTTTTGAAGTTTTTAAATAAAGAAACGTTTGCCTTAAATGAAAGCAAAAGATCTCAAGTTCATTATTTTCGTGAAGATTCCTCGTATCTTCTTTTCAACTCTAACAAAGGAGTAGAAAGTAAAATGATCTATTTTGAACACGCAATAGTGCACGAAAGAAATACTCTTAAACACTCATTTCTATTTACTTATTTACCGAATGCGTGAAAAGTAGGTAAACGCCGCGTAATGAAATATTCCGACGAGTTAACGGTTGTCTCTTACGATCCATTGGGTCTGAAAATTTCTTATTTTCCAACAAGAAACTCGGCATAGAGAACAAACCATCCGAGCGCCATCCCCGTCTATTGATCGATCACCGGCTTCGTTCGCAACATGGCACCGGGGGTGATATTCGCGTGCTCTCAGTCCGATCCTCCGTCGTTTCCAAGAAAGAACCAGAATTTCTTGCAAAGATCTTTATATTCCTCGAGCATCCGTGCGAGGAGACCATCAAGAGTGTAAGTCGGCCATATAGTTAATCGGATTTCTTCTTAACGAGTAATACGTGTTGAACGCGTTGACGTAGGTTATGGGAAACACTCTCACCCGAGGGCTTTACGATGCTAAGGGCAGCAGCATTGACGTTAATCCGGCTCGAGAGCTCCAATTTTTGAGATAGCCAGTTTAAGAACTATTTCAAGGTTCGTCTTTACACGAGAATTATCCTATTACTTAATTTAAGTATGAAATTTATTTTGTGACAAAATAATCGACGCTATAATAACTTATTGCACATTTATAGAGATAGAGTAGAAAAGCGATTTATTTCTAGTATTATTGTGAAATTCCTTTTCGTTTACAAATTTATTTAACTGAGGTAGTTTCAAGTTAATTGTACGTCCTGTAATTGTAGTTACGATAATTGGTAAATACTGCCGTAGGAGCTTCTCCTCAGACAATTCCACCTTGCGAGGAGGACGGTCTCTGCAAAATGCGAGAGCGACGGCGTTACCAAAACACGATGCAGCTGTGAAATGCTCGTCGCTATTCTGTTACAGGGAGATCTATTTATTCGATCAGGTGCGGTATATACGGAACGCCAATTCCGTTAATTGCGTTCGTGGACTATGTCGCTCTCTAATACTATATCTCGTACGTACTCGATATACTATTCGGTATCATTCGTGCGGATGATACGATGACGCATGACAAACGTGTAGTTGAAGTAGGGTGAGATCGACGTGAGATTAAATGCCTTCAAGGATTGCTTCGTGCTACCGAAACCGTAGACCGCGGAAATAAGGAGGAGCGAGAAGAGGTGCATGGAATACAAAACTTTTTAATCGCGAACGATTAATGACTTGGGCAAGTCGTCAATGTTCTCTCTGGGCTGATGATCGTCGTGCGGCAAGGAATATGCGCCGCAATAATAATTTATCACTTTAAGCTTCTTACTTTAGACTTCGCTACCTCGGAAGAGTTAAACTGATGATGTGGCATGACGGCTGCATGATATGAATAATGGAATGTGTGTAAAAGCATAAAAATTGAAATGAAGATGCGTATCATAAAAATAAGTTAAAAAAAAATAATGCATATCATGCGGTTCCATATGGAGTTAAAGAAAGCACGAGCCGAGGAATTAGATATCCGAGAGGAATCTTTTGCTATTTTTCTACGTGTTATCTACGACGTTAATAATGACACCGTACAAAATAATCAATGAATTGTTATTTTATTGAAAGAAAATATTTTTCGAACAATATAAAATTTTTATAAAATTTTTTATTGTTATTTTTATAAAATTACCTTACTATATGCTGTATACGTTATTCAAATAACGCATTTTTGTGTACAGCGAACGAAAAATAATATTTTAATATTGCTGTACACATTTGATGTTATAATACAACTTTCTCTCAAAATGAACACAAAGTTACCAAATTCTTATAGAGATTAAGTATGTCTATTTTAATAGAAAACTTGATATTCCAGACGTAAATCCGGTTTCACAACTTTTTCCTTACAATACTACATGTATGGTGACATATGTAATGTGATATGAACTGTAAATGTTATTTTTTAGTCGAATTATGACAGCTGAAACAAAAATATAAAATATAAGACAACAGATATTTTAATTAAGATATTAATCTTACAGTATAAATTATTTTAGAATAGTCTAAAAATAATATAACTTACCGCCCTTTGTAATTTAAGATAAACGTCTTTCAGTTTTTCCTTTTTAAGAACTATTAAATATTCTTTCAGCTTTTCTAAAGCTTCATCAAGGGGTGACTTAAAATGTAGTACAACACCATCAAATTTGTCGCCGTATGTTTGGTAATAATGAAGCCATGTAAGTATAAATTCGTCGAAATGACGCGGCAAACGTTTCAGGTTTAGGCCTTTGATATGATTATAAGTACTCATTGTAGTACAAATATAAGGCATTATAGCGGCTGCTTTAGTGTTACAAAAATGTAGTAGAGTAACTAAACTTTGATATACGATCTTTTCGATATGCGATATCGGGTGCATCTGTAAAAAGTTAATAATTAGATATTGTTAACTAAACGAAAGGAATATATAATGTGTCTGGCTCTCACTTTAAAATCACAACAAAGACGAATAATGTTAAGCCGTACATATTAATTAATTAGTATCTTAGTTAATTTTAGTATGCCTAACTATTAATATTTCTAATAATTACTACCCTATTTAATTTTAGTATTCTTATTTATTAATATTTCTAATAACTAATTTTATAATAATCCAAATTATTAAAACAAACAGTAGACGAAATCTTTTGATACAACAGAAATGATATGTTTATGCTTCTCTATTCTAAGGATTTTTTATGTAACTGACCTGCGCGTGAATGAGGTAGAGAATTTCATAAAGATTAATCAGATATACATTATGGGTTTCGGTCGTGATATTTTGTAAAACGACGGCTGAGCCGTCATCATTTGGTGTTAAAAGTTCGTATATAAGTTGCATTGCGTTCTCTGTGCAGTTCTGTGATGATAATCTGGCGTATGTTAACAGCTCACACAAATTTTGTACACTGATCGTCAATGGCTTTTCGCACTGAGAAACAAATTTGTCATAAAATTCTCAACAATTTCATTTAAATTTTTACATGCGCAATTCATCATTATACGCACCTTTACTGATGACTTTTTTTGACAACAAATGACAAAACTAAGCAGTTTTATACAAATGGTGGATAATTCTGATCTTTCTTTTGAAAATCCATTCCTATATAACCATCTCAGCAGCCGATAGTTCTCTACGTACATTTCAAGGACTGTAATTGAAATACTCTCTATTAAAACACATTTTGTCAGAAACGTAGGTACATCCGTATAATTTTATCGGAATGATTATTTCTTTTTATGAATATTCGTACTTTTATTCTATACTTTTATTATACTACCTTCGAATGAGTTGCGCGACACAGTGACATTTAACAAAGTATACGCTTGCGTTACAACTAAAGTTATGAATTTTAATTTTGTATTCCTCTTTAATATAATCTTGATAATATTATCGGCGCAACGTATTATGTACTGTAACGGTGTCGTGGACGGCGGGATGATACTAGCCAACTCCAGAGCCGTCTCTACGTGCGTGACTCGAGGCACGACTGCAAACGCAAATTTGACAAAAACCTTTAATCGAAATACTAGATAAAATTATAATATTAATTTTAAATGTAAAAATTGTAAGTAATAATATATGTAAATTTCTAAAAATTTAATAGAATAGCTTAGAATGTTTTTTGTGATATTTCTTGGAAGGTGCATTGAATTATTTCAACAAACTAGCATTCGGTTGATACGATGAGAGTATATCAGGTAATGTTTGCCACACAATATCCACGAATTGGTCCATGAATTGTCTATCGTCTTGAATAATTTGCACAAAATGTTGAAGCCCTTTCAGGGCAACGTTGATAATGCAGTCAGAATAACCAGGTTGTATTAGATCCTATTTGCAAACAAATAAAAATTATTATTTGTTCTCCTTAAATTAAAACCCCCTTTTTGATCAAGCTGACAATTACTACAACTTACGTAACTTACTGTAGCATTTAAAATTATACTAAAAATACTCAAAAAAACACGCTCGCGAAGACGTATTGTTAATAATACTAATAATTTTATATCTCCTCTCTTTCTCTCTTTTCTTCTGATGTAAAAAAAAAACAGATATTCTGCTTACCAGTAAATGTTGACCAACTTTGGTATAATTGAACGATAATGGCTTGATATCACCGTCGGACTCTATCAGCCATAAATTTAATACTCGTTTTAGTAAGTCTTGTAAGATGTACGGACATGTAAGACAAAAACGTAAAAGATCGGTATGATGAGTATAAAATTCGCTGATTTCTGAATGCTGCAATATGCTCGTCATTCGATCGACCGCGTTTTCGTAACGACATATTGAATCGGGACGCGGATGAGATAGAGACGTTACCTGCGAAATCGAACGCAATCAGTGCATAGCGCAAACAAGTACGAGATAAATATGTACTCACGGCAAATAGCAGCCACAGAGGTTTTAAAATCAGGACTGAGATCGGAGTAGATGTTGGAAGTTTTATGACTCTAGCGGTTAAAAATTCCAATGATAGCATGTCGTTTCTGAAGAGCGATATATAAATTGTAATATCTGAATGAAAACCAACGATAATACAGAAGTACTATACTAGTATTTTTTTTTCATACTTCTCTTGGGTGCCAAGAAAATGATAATACAGCAGAATTATTAGAGCTGATCCGTCTTTTTTACGTGCTGCTGCATCGTTCCATTTTGTCGAATCTGTTGGTAGCGCGAGAAGACCTTCATATAAAATATCCGCAAACTCGGCCGTATCTATGGAGAATGCCGTTTTGCCAAGAATACTCAAGATTCTTGACAGTAATCTGCAGGTGCTCCTTTGTAAGGTCGCTCTGCAATGTGAAACGTTACTTCGCGATTTGTGTTGTTGTTTAGTAGTTTCGGGTGGTTTGTACATCTTTGAAGTATGAGATTCAAAGTAATATTTCAGCAATAATATTTAACACATCCAATTTATTCTGTAACGATTTATATTCGGAGCGCTACGAGTAGCGTATGAAACGCGAATGAATGGATCTCTTTATATTAGATTTTCAAATTGCAAAATTCTGAAGAATGATATTTAAAAAAATGACATAAAAATTAAGGGAACTACAATTTTCAAAGCATTAAAATTATCTCCAAAGAGATGATAAAGGAATTCGTAGCAACTTTAATACGTATAAAAATTAAATTAGAAATCAATAATTGAAAAATTATTTTCTTTAATATATAAAAGTTTGAAAGATATCTAAAGAAAGATTTCTAAAGTATTTAGATCTTTAGGATGTATTTGCGAGCTTATTTTTATTACTGTACGCGCGTGTATATATATATCTGTGCAATTGCGTTTGGCAATTGCAATAATATAATTGATATACAAGGCATTAGAAACGGATGATGCAACTTACGGAAATTGCGCTCTCAAATATAAGAGGCGCTTCAGATAACCATCTGCAGCCAAGAGTTTAGACAAATTGTCCTTATTGCAATTTTTTTCTAGCTGATACAAGTATTCGAGACAGATGACGAAACTTCTACAAAATCCGAGTTCTATTAAATCTGAATGAACCAAGTCTTTGTCCTGTCAAAAAAAATATATTCATCAAAATAATGCTTATAATTTATTCCACTCATTCATGCGATGATTCTTATTAGTATAGATTTATATTTGTTGATGTTATATTTCCTAACGTGAACCTACTTTTAGATATGGCAACACTAAGTTCATCATCGTATAATTCACGCAAATTTCCAGATCGTTTTTCTTCTCGTAAATCTTAAGATCGGTCTCCGTTCGCATCTTTTCCCTGGAATCTTGCATGAAGATGCAGAATCTGCGGAAACGAATTTTGTTTGTAAAAGAAATGGTTTCGATATCGCGCGACGCTGAGAGAAATAAATTGACAGATATTCAACCGTGAGCTGCTGGCGCAGGTGCTGCATAATGCATTAGCAGCAAGTACAATCGTTTCGTCGTCATTGCCGTGTTTCAAAATTTTTGTCATTGACTTTAATATGTCGTGACAGACATCGATAATGATCTCGGCATCGATATTTTCATCAAAGTTCTGTTTCTGCAGGACGACATTAAACATCGTGGCGACCGAAAATTTCAGCTTGTTCTTCTGCAAATCCTCGATATTCACATTCCTCGTGAGCAGTACAATTTGTTCGAAAATACAGTCCGTATCGAAGATCGCATATAATTTTAGCGATCTAAAAATCATTATGATACATGCTTCAATTTTACTACGCGTAATAATTATGATTACTTTAATAAAGCTATTCACAATTAGTTAATTCAAAATCATCGATTTTAACGAATATCACATGCAAATATAATTATACAATATGTTAATTATTATAATATAATTTATAATATATTGTATCAATTAATGTAATACACTATTGTCTATTTAATTATATATAAATAATAATACTGAAGAAATTCCGTTGCGTTTTACAGTAAATGATGATGACAAAAATATATACCTAACAAGTATGTTAGATATGCTCTCTAGGAGTTTCTGGAACAGCCTTATGTCTTTCAGTGACTTATTTACGAAATAACTAAGCCGACATAATGTTTGTATAACTTGTATAGCCGTTTGATTTTCATAAAATATTTTATGGGCGCTGATAATCTCCAAGCATTCGAGAATGATTCTGCAAATAAAATTGGCATTTTTGGGGAAGAATCGCATGGAGACGTAAGAAAATTTGAATTTGACAAATATGCAAATATCTTAGCGTGAGAGAAAGGAATTGCGTACTTCACGAAATCTTCATCCGACGTTTGGATGACATCGCACATTGTATGTATAATATCGAATGTAATCAGTTTTTCAATTACGATGTTTCGTTCGGATTCTTCCAGTTGCTCCAAGAACTGTAGCAGCTTCTCGGCGATTGTGGTCTAATTTTAACAGAAGAGAATCGAAGAGAAAACGAAATTATAATTGCAGAACTTATATATATTAACGAACGAAGAGCTGTCGATGGCGAGCGTAGATCGGGCCGATCTGTTCTCATTTTCACTTCTTTCCGCTCTATTTCCGATCGATCGTCCTCGATTCGTGCGTTACGCGTTTGCGTTACAGGTGATGAATACCGCAGTAATTTCGCTGAGCTCATACCAAATGCGTGCGATCCGTAGTCGTAACGATCGCATCTCATGCTCGTTCGCGAATTAATGAAACGCGATATTCGGGTGCGGGATCCCTTTTCGCGTGCGTTCGCGGGGATGCATCGGCGATTAAACTCTCGGCGTAATTACATCTCGATTGAGAAGAAAGTTATATACTTTATTAGTTATACTTTATCAAGAAAAAGAGTAAGAGTGAAAACGACGGCGAAATGTTGCCGCGCGTATCCCATTTTTATTGAAATTGGAGGTAATTTTCCAGAAAAAAGAATATCACTATTATGTATAAAATATTTAATAATATTTTTTTCGATATTTGAGATTTTATAGTTTGGAAATAAAAAAATTTGCTCTCGACAGCGTGAACGTAGAATGGAGGATCGGGCGCCGCGTAAAAACGCACGGTGTACAATCGCGAATATAGAGTTCCCCTTATACCTGCGTGTATTCCGACATTAATCGCGTCTTCACGTACGGCAGCAGAATATTTATATCCTTCGTAGACCAATTAAACATCGAGAATGGGTCCATTGTGCTGAGCTGATTATCTTCTACGCAGCAAAGAAATTGCACGCGATTGTCGCAATGCGGCATCTAACGGACGTTGTGCATCGGTTGCGCATTCGGACGGTTAAATTCAGCGGCTAACTTCTCGACGTTGAAAGATTGTAATATGGCGGACAGCGCTTGGACGCTCGAGTGTGAATTCAATCTCTCGCGGACGTTTGTCGTAATATTACATCCTATAACACGATGTCGGGATATGAGAGAATTGGGACACGCGTCTCTTTTTTAACTTCGTATTTGAATACATTCTCGTGAACCCGCGGGAACAACCGATCCGCGCAGTCATTTGAGTTTTGGAACGCACGGAGCCTGACCTCGATATCAGTGCGGACGCTCACATACATCCATACATCACGCATACGCCCATCAGGTACACGGTTTTTTTTTTGTGAACGCGATGACGCAACGAATAGCCGAAGAAAAGTAAAAGCGAAATGTAACATTAGAGGAGAATAAGACTAAAAAGAGAAAACGTATACGCAATATAATATCAATTGATTTGCGTTGAGGTTTATAGATATATATTTTTTCCAAGTAAAAAATGTATTTGAATATAATAAAATATAATATAATATTCTTTAATATATTGAAATTTAAAATATGATATAATATGATTTTATATACATACAAATGATATTATTTTTAGATTGAATTTTATTTTTAATATTGTTAAATGAAAATTAAGCGAAAAACAGTTACAGAATACACAGTCAAGTTTCAGGTTAACTTTGTCACATCCGCGTAAAGCGTGTCACTTTGAAGTAAAAGCTGAACGCACCAATGACTACGACAGACAAATTGACGTCAACTCGCGCGTCGAATGACCGCGCGCACGGCGGCTTTTCGCCTTTCTCTCTTGACATCCGATTGTCAAAGCGATCAGCGAAACTTTCAGGGTCAAGTTCGATTTCCGAAGCGCTCGCACGCTCGCTCGCCCGCTCGCTCCGCGCGCGAGCTCTTCTTGCTGGCGCGTGGAATTTCACGCTTCACGAAAGAATCGAACGAGCCCGCGTCGCTCCATTTCGCGCCTCGGGAGAGACCGCGCGCGGCCGCGGACGACCGCAGAGATTTTTCTTGTCCTTCCCAATTCGTACTTCACGCACCAGATAGCGGTCGCCGCACGATTAATTTTCTCCCCGTGATATATTTAGGCAAAAGTTACACAGGAAACTTTCATAACTCCCGTTATTGTGAAATTAAGATGTTTCACAAGTGTATAACACTCTCCGTAGATTATTACCGATTCGCCGCGAAAACGTGTAACATAAAATCGCCTCGCTTTCGCGGCCCGCGTGAGTGAAATCGTTTTCGCGTGCGAGGACAATCAGGATCCGATCTTTAACGAGCGTGCGCGATTACACGCCGTCTGGGCGCAGCGTGTAATCGCGTGTGTATTAATTAGTAAACACGTCTCCACGCGGCGCGTTCGAGCGTTGAGACGCCACGCGCGACGCCGCGCCGCGTGCGACGTATGTACGCGCAGCGGGGATCTATTTCACCGTCGTGTTCACTCTTCTTATTTCAAGAACGTCTTCTAAGTGGACCGAAGAAACCGTTTATCCACGGCGGAAGTGGGTCATGAGCGCGCGATAATGCACAATTAATTACTCGAAAAAAAAAGAAGCGTAATGGTACATAGGCACCGTCGAGATTTCGCGTCGCTCGCGAAACACATAAATCGGCGTCCCGCCGCGTCATCGGATCGATATTCGATCTCGAAATGAAATGCATTCAGAAACGCGCGCGCCGAGAAATGAAATTTATTCCAAAGCAATTCTCAAAGCGAAAAGTGAGTTTTCCGTGAGTTGGTCGCGCGATTGTCCGCTCTCGACTGTGCTACATCGAAACAAAATTTCTGCAAGCGAAGTGGAAATATTGCGAAAAATGTAGATTTTCAATTGTTTTTTTTTTTTAAACAGATGCTAAGAGAAACGTAGGAATTATTTGTTGCAAAACACGTTTCCAACCACGATATCTGGAAGTATTGAAAATATTTAAGAATAATTTTTTATTGCACGATTTGCATACAACTTACGATATAGGCAGGTATACTTTTTAAAGAAGGATCTTACTGTGGCAAAAAAGTATCTTTTTTTTTATGTTATGAAAATTGTAATAGGAGACGAGTGCTTTACTTACCTCAATATGCCGCCGTCATTGATTAGTAAGACAATAGATAAAAGGTAAAAGTGGTGTAATGAGATTACTTATGCAACAATAACAAACATCGTTTACTACAACGTTGCAATTAATGCTTTTAATAGATCTCCCGTCTCTCTTTCACTTTCTCCTTTCCGGTTTGTCCTTACTCTATAATAATAATCAATTTCTTTCTTACTCTCGGTAGTGCCGCGCTACGATGACCGCATGACTTGTAATAATCATGATAACAATAATCAGGACAATAATCGTGAGTCGTTGATTGTAAAATGGCACCGGATTTTCTAATTTACCTAAAATACATGACGAGAGAGCTACACGAGACATCTTTTTCTCTTTTATCATCCTCTCGTCCGTTTCACTTTCTCGCGAGAATGCCCTGCAGCCGGCCGGCCCGGATTCGATCGCGACGGGACGATCGTCCGCGGGCCGGCCCCTCGAGCCATTTTACAATCGCCCCGCTCGTGTGTGCAATAACGCTATCAATAATCGTACATACAATAAATGCACATGTGAACAGAACTGTAACTATGGAGGATACGCAATGTCGAGATAATAGAGCCACGTGTATCCGCGAGTCGAAACCGCCTCCGAAGTCGCGCCTCCACGCGAGAAATTACGTGACGCGGAGGGTAGTTCGAGGGTAAATTCGATTTAACGTGAAAAATCACGAAACGCGAGACACGACCTTCCGACGCAAACGACAGCGAAATTGGAGTTGCTGGATGGAACTGCTGTTCGCCCCGAACGACGCCGTTGCGATCATTATCTCCCGCCAATTGCGGAAACAACCGGCGATCGTCGGTGCACTTCCAAAGCGGCCGTCGAGTCGCGGGAGCCTCTCGTGATGTAATCCTACGCCGGGAAATGAATATCTCGCGCGCGCTGACAATTCGATTTCGAACGTTCGTTCGTAACCGCGGGACGCGACTTCGAACTCGGTGACGCGAAATACGGGACCAGCGATTCTCGCGATGGATTATTCGCCTCCGTTCCTCCGCACAGCTAACGCTAGACGCATTTATTTATTCTATGCCTCAGGTAAAATTTTCTAAGAACGCGCCGACAGCCTCGAACGACTGTCGAGTGCCGAAATATTTTCGTAACATCGTAGAAACGCGATGGTTATCGTCGTCGATATTTTAATCGATTTCAATGGAATTTTAAGAAGCGGTGTTAAGTTAGAGATATGAAGAGACGTGCACTTTGAACGAATATGATTCTAAGCTATAATAAACATACAACGTACAACGCGATACAGTAAGAAATGTAAATTGACAGGTCGTGCGATAGAAATGAGAGGGAAATAAATTAGGTGAAAAATAAAGAGCATTTTTGCATTAAAAATTAAAGCATATCGGATATAAAACTGGAAAAAAAACGTAAAGGAACAGTTTTGCACGTTCGTGTAAATTAATGCGGATAAATTTGAGGTGTAAACTGCATCAATGTATCTTCTCATAATTCTTTCACAATCAAATCTCTTTCATCGATAATTATTATTATCAATCGATAACGATAGATTATTGATTGATAACAATTATTATTTTGAACACAGTTTTGCTTTTTTTCGACTTTCAACGCCTCTCGGCTGTTCGTCAGGTTCGCTCTGTTTCTCCGCTGTCCAAACTTTAGTACGCGATAACGCATCGTACGATATACACAATAATTAATTCTTTATACAACTCGTCGTAATATACTATATAATATATAATAATAATGATCGTACAACTAACAGTTTTAATGACATTACTCTTCGGGACGTCGGATCCGAGGCGGGATCCGACGTCCTTATAAACGCTTCGCTACGAATAAACTATACGAGATTCAAATGCGAAACGTTCTTTAAGAACGTGCAACCACTCACGCGATGACAGATATGAGCGACTCGTTAAATTAAAACATGTTCCGCGACTCCTATTGTATAGATTCTGTACTTATATTTATTTATATATTTAATTATATATATATATAATTTTATATATATATATATATATATAATTTCTCTTTGTATTTATTTTTTTGTTTTCTCTCTTTCTGAAAATCTCTAAGCTATGTGTTGTAAGGACTAGTTTACACGATAGGATTTAATTTAACTATATGTGTACTTGACAAGCCAGTCTAGCTTTTCGACGCGTCGCCTGCCGTGCGCTCGACGGCGGTCAAGAGCATACAGGGAAACGATTGAACACTCGGGATGATATTATCCGCCGTCCGCTGGGGAACAAACCCTCGCGACTGTTGCACGGCGAGATCTCGGCGCGCCGGGCGATGATCTCGAGCGCGCGTCTCCAAGCACTTACAGCTAAAAAATGATCCTCTCGATCGACGTTTCGACATTCAACGCGACCGCTCCCCGTGTTCGTCGGTCTACGCTCGAAGGTGGATGTGTATGTGTGTGTACGTATGTGCCTCCCCTTGTCTCTCACCTCTAATGTTCTTTAGGCGATCTACACCGATTGCTATGCCGACGTACGAGCCACTTCGAAACGATATATCCGTAATTCTCGCTGTAATTACATAATTCCGGCTTTGATTTGTAGATTAACCTCGGCGTTTCGTAAAATTCTACTTACGAATTTTACCAAACTGGTGTATGTCTTATTTTACGCGAGCTTGGACATGAGAAAGACTTTTCACAACGATTGATGTGTTGATATGAGCGCCAATCAAAGTCGCGGGACACGTGCGCGTTTTTTTTTGTTTCGACGTGGCTCGTACATCGTCCCGTGTGTGCTTCTTATCAATTAATTAATAATATTAAAAATACAATATGCGACAGTATAATAACGCTACGGCAACGGCGGCGGGAGCGGCCGCGACGCGAGCGAGAGCGATAATTAAGGCGGGAAACGCCGGAACGTCGATCTCGGGGCTTGGACTAGAGTCTTATCGTAAAAAGAAAGGGAAAAGAGGGAAAATACTTCGCCGTATTGAGAAAACGCGCGCTACAATCGGTCCTACTTATCTCTCTGCCTGCCTTAAAGTGTATATGCACGCGAGAATGCGGTACGAAATGTATAAGCGGATTCGACTTTGTAGTATCGGGGATATACAGAGGGAACGGCGTAATCCGAAGAGAACGGACCAGATCTGAACGATCCCGCGGCTCCCCCTCTCCTCCCCCCTCCCTTCGCGAGCCTTGATTGCAGACTCGTGAGTTATTATCGATTTATCTGCATTACGACTTCCTATATCCGCCGAACGAGACGAATTCCCGTTATTGAACTCTCGCCTCGACAATAATACGTATTATCTCGCTATATAATTACAATAACGTGTGTGTGAGTGTATGTATATAAGATACTTCGTATCGGCTACTTGCACGAGCGCGAGCCTCGGCAGACGGAATTGTTTGACGGACTCGATCGACGGCCGATCGACGGGATTTCACTCGACTTGATACACCCTCTACAAGCTGGTTACAAAAATTCTCTCCTCCGCCGGTCCTTGGATTCGGACTGATGTGATACGTTTGTGAGTCATCGCGCTCTTTCTCTCTCTTTCTCTCTCGTGCTCCGTCTCTTCTTCGGTCTACTTCTCCCTCTCTCTCTCTCTTTCTTTGTCTCACGTCTCGTGTCGCACGCGAGTCCGCGAGCTCGAACGGCAAGATCGATTGGCGACGCTGGCGTGTAACTAAATAGAGCGAGCCGCGCGATTCTGCTGCACGCGGCTCTCGTAACAAAGGTACTCTTATACGGTCTATCTCGAGACGTTATTTTACCTATGTATGTATATCACACTAGAATCCACGGTGTCTGCAGGCGCTTCTTCGCACGTCGGGACACACGCTGAGAATTCCGCCCGCAGAACCCTGAAAGATAATTCGAGAGATATATACGCTAACGCTAATGGAGTGCCGATTCGCGCTACGATTACGGGTCCACACTCGTTCAAGTCAGATAAATAAGGCGATCCCCCTCGGATACGCTTTTTAAACAGTCCTCGTATATTTCTCACTTAACGTTTCGGATGGGATCGCGTAGCCTGGCACGTCGGTCTTACCTGTCATTGTTTGGCGGAATGGTACCTAGCTAGCTTCATTTGCAGCGGATTAGATATCTTCATGTGAAAGGCGATGTCGTCCAGGGAGGCGTCGCGTACGTCCAGTCCGCCGATCGCCACGAGCTGATCACCCTTGCAGATCTTGCCGGTTTCGATAGCCTGACCGCCCGCTGTCTGTAGACGTTATAGAATTCGGTAGGCCGCGATCGTTAAAACACGTCGACGCAGAGGTACTACGTCGTAGAATTTGGAGAATCGGACTCACCAGCTCCTTCACGTACACCCCCTTGTTGCTCCAGAACGCGGCGAAACAGAGACCAGCTCCTTTGCCGCTCTTCTTCTGTATCTCGACCTCGTATTCCTCGGCTGGTTTCTCGTGGCGCAACACCGTCATCGTGATCTGTAAAACGAGAACGACGAAAAGTCGCGTCAGAAAAATGTTATATGTGACAGTTGTGTAGCGCCGCTTATATACAACTCGTATCCACAAGGCTGTATATCTTCTTCCCGTTCTATTAAAACGGGGACGATTATTTAATAGAGTATACAAATGCCACGTACACTCCCAGCAGCTTGCTTCAGGACCGTCTCGCGAGCTTTGTCGTACTCTATCTCCGCGAAGCTTTCGTTGCCTATGCTGAGAATCTGATCGCCTCGTTGCAACCGACCGTCCTTCCCAGCCGCCCCCTCGGGAGATACGTCCAGAACGAACACCCCGTTCTAGAAAAAGGGTCATTTCTCAAGAGTGCATACATTAACATAGATAATGATTTAATATTAAATTAATTATTAATATTTTTGAAATTAGGTGGCATCGGTATATATATCTCTACGTAACTTGTGATATTCGAAAATTATCTTCTTGACGCATCAGTTATTTATGTTTTTCTCTTCTCTTACATGCGTTATATCGCATGCTATCGTATTCTCTAATAAAATGTCTCAGAATTGAAAAAAATTATACAAAAGGTATATTGCGATGCGATCACGCGGATAAGCTAAATGCATATTGAAAATTATCAAATGTACTCACGCAAGGAGTGTTAGAACCGCCAGCGATGTAGAAACCTATACCTTGGTTCTTCTCCTTCTGAAACTCTATCGTCGCCTCCTCGCCGACGTCGATCTTGCAAGTCTTTGGATCCTGCCGGACCTTCTTCTCGTCGGGTTCCTTGCCGGTCGCTAATTACAATAACGGAGGATCAAACATCAAATGCAGATCTCGTGCAAAACCATAGTTTTGAGAACGAAATGTACATTGAGAAAAAAAATTGATTGCACGAACTAAATTTGTATAGTTGTTTAATCCAATAGTTAATTCAACAATTCTTTAGTTGCACAAAGAAAGATATAGTTCATTCATGTCAACTATCAAAATTTTTTATTAAGAATTAAACTAAACCAAGTCAATTAAATTATTTTGTTCGAAATACTAGTAATATTTATTTGTGTTTACATGCTATTTAGTTATCCAAGTAATATATTTATTTAAATTCCACACGGAAAGAATAATTTTGCTGGATTCAGATCTGAAAATAATTTTTGTTCAATAATCAAAATAATTTTGTGTGAAAGTCAAAATGATTGCTCGAATATCAAAACGTTTTACAGTAATGCTTGTCAGTTTTAATATTCCAACAAAAAATTTTGACGATTTAACAAAAAATTATTTTCAGATCTGTATTCAGTAAAATTTTTAGACCTTTTAACAAAATCATTCTTTCCGTGCAAGTGTCAAACTGACTAAACGATGCTGATGGGGATAATAAATAGTGTGTATTTTTATTAGAACGGTTGAGTTAAATACGATAAATTTTTGTTGAAACAAAATAGTTTAGTTAAAAAATAATATTTTTTATGATGGTAACAAATTATTTTGTGTCATCGTAGTAACGTTTAGTTGAACGTATCGGACTAAATATTTTGGTAAAATGAAACAAATGTTACGTTTTTCAACAACTTTTTTTTCTCAATGTATGGATGTGCATTATTACAAGATTTCCTCGTAAATGTATAATAGAGACTCAATCACGTCGTTAAACTCACCTGACGCTCCACCCTTTTGCGGGGTCTTCTGTGCAACCGAGGTTGACGAATCATCCTTGAGCTCCTGAGTCTTACCCTTCTCTTTCTCCTTCTGATCTTTATTTTCGTTAGGATTACAAACTACCAGCTTGACGACGCCCTCCGCTTTCTTCAATAATTCCGTCGCCTTAAAAAAAAAAACAAAAAAGTTAACGAGATAGAATATAAATTGCCCAAATATTTGACATCTTGATCGGCGAGGTAATTCCTTGTTTAAAGAAGAAAATGCGAAAAGGAATACGAACCTCATCGTACGTGCGTCCTAATAAGCTATCCAGATTAACAGCCAGGATCATGTCGCCCACTTGCAATCCAGCCTGAAATATCGGTCGCGTTGTAAAGTACACGAAGTCCCGCTTAAAATAGGCTCATCCAAGGTCGTAAGTACGAGCGAAAATTACCTGTTCCGCGGCGCTGCCTTCCTGAATGTCGGACACGAAAATCCCTTGCCCTACAGCCAGATGCTTTCCTTCGATGATCATTATGCCAAGGCCGTATTGACTCTGCGAACGATCAATCGCGGCAATTAGTATTAGAAAGTAAGATATTGTGCAAAAAAAGTATCGATCGGTCGGCCAATTTCGCCGTAATTGCGGACACACTTGCCTTCTTCACTCGCACGTCACGAACGCCTTTGTATTTCGAGTAGTCTATAAAAACCTGCAACACACGATATCTCGTTTTACGGCCGTCGTTTTATGTAGCAATGTGATACATCCATCAAATAAAATGTACGACTATATAATTTATCACGTACGTATAACGTTCGCATAAAAACTCACATTAATTTTGTATCTCTAATATCTCTTTTTTTTATGTCACTTTTTTTATGTTACTTTTTTTCACAGGAAATGAGTTTATCGCATGATCTATCGGATCTACATTCTGCATATTTAAACATACATACGTATGTCGCTGCTGAACATATTTGAGTATTTATAAATTTGCCTTTTTTTCGGTATGGTATAAATATAGGATCCAGCATCGTTTTATTACAAAGTATCGCGTCGTCGAAATTTATCATCGTTCATTCATGCATTCATTAAAATAATTATGCAGCATTTTTTCTCTCGCAGTCGCTGTTCAATTAATTTAATAACGCGTCGAGCGTGTTACGCAACGCCTCAATTGCTTTTCACTGATTTATTATTTTACGAGTACTCTCCGCAGCCGGTTTTGCATGCGGTAAAGATAAAATTAAAAAAAAGAGGTGAACGCCGCGAATTGACTTACGTCATCCAAGGTTGGTGGAAATTGGACTATCGGCTTTACGGCGATGTCGTCGACAGCCTTCGATCGTCTGCAACAGGCGAAATCCGTTTATAGTTTTAATGAATTTTGTTATACATGTCGTCTCCGCGTCACGTTACGTCGCGGAAAAACCTCTGGTATCTCACCGATAAACGATGATTTTGAAGAGAGTACCGGCCATGCCTTTGATAAGAGCGGAAGCGTTCAGATGACTTCGTCCTTGCAATACGTAGCCGTTCACCTAAGTGGAACAGAAAATAATATTTTAATTTCGTTTTTCTGCAGTATTTACGTAATCGAATAAAATGCGTAACAAAATACGGACGTAACAAAACTTGTGAAATGCCAGCCAACAAACAAATATAAAAATTCTTTCGCTCGTCCGTTAGATGCATATCATAAAGATAAAAAATAATTTTATTAAAAATAAAATAGAGATTTGCACGCGCATTCGGATATGACTTAGTTTTTCCGATTTTTCCGACACTTTCATTGATTTAATTTAATGTCAAAATATGTAATTATATTATATAATTTCTAGATTACATACATTCTAACGATAAATATTTCAATTAAATGCGAAAATCCTCTCGTAAAATTGTAGGTTTACAGGAACCTTTCGCCTTATCTATATTATCGTAAGTGCAATAGAGCCGTACGTTGTTTCTCGGCTTATAGGGAATATATACGTTCTAGACGGTGTTGTGTTATTTTCTCGAGAAAACCCGCAACGCGCGTACCGTCGCAACGGGCGCGCGAGTTAAACGGATTATAGACGGCGCGTGAAACGAAGGTTAAACAACCCGACGAGGTAGCCGTGGGGAACCGCGGTCGTAAATGGCACGTCGTAAAAACGCCAGAGAGAAAGAGAAAGAGAGAGAGAGAGAGAAAGAGGGCAAGAGAGCGAAATACACCCACCTCCAATATCTCATCGCCGATGAGAAGCCCGCCATTCTTGTGAGCTGCACCCTTCGGATTGAGACCGCAGATGAACACCGCCATTCGGTTTCTGTCCTTATGCCCCGCCAGAGAGATGCCCAATCCCCGTCGGTCCTTCTCGATGGTGACCATCAGCACTTTATGCCCGAGCCTCTGATACTTCTTCTGTATCTTCTCTGCAAAAATTATGAGAGCGTGCTCGCGTGGTTGGAGATCGATCGATCGCCGCGGCGACGACGTCGCGTCCGAGGCCGCGCACGTTGCATTTTATGATTTTACAGCGACGTATAATCACTTATCTCTCAGATCAATCATGCAGATTGATTGATCGATCAATCGGAGATATAATGAAATGAAACGAAATTTTCACCGCCGAACGCGCGGTGGCGGAGGGGATCGCACGGAATATGAATATATCGAGCTCGTCGCTCGTGTGACGCAAATAGTATATAAATATCAATTTCCAATTGTTTCGGAATCGCGGTCTACATTTAGTTGCGGAATGTCACTCACTGGCCGTGTAGCCGAACTCGTCCTCTTTCTCCGGATCCGCTTCGATCTCCTCCTTCGTGCGCCTCACGTTTCCGGCGCTCTTCCGCGAGATCTAGCGCAAGCGGGAATTTTATTGTAGCGCGTTATTATCGTAGCAAGTGAGACAAAGAGAGGGGGAGAGAGAGAGAGAATCGAGAGCGTATCGGTTTACCTCGATGCCGCTCTTCGTGTAGACATTTCCCTCCAGCAAGCGCGTGTCCTCCTCATCGTCGTCCGAGCTCTCGTCCGAGGAGAACTTAGCCTTCGCGGCGGGCTGTGCGACGGGCGCGGGGGGCGCGTGATCCTCCCGTTCCTCGCTGACCTCGCGAAGGATACCCGGGTTCACGGGTGGCGACGGGGCCGTTTTTCGAATTGACTTCTTCATGGAGGATCTGCGGGGCACAACGTGCGCTCAGGAAGGATCGGGACGCTCTGGGCATCCGACTTCTCTCGTGTAAACGGAACGCGGAATAACATTTGCCCGCGAGAGATAAGCGATAAGGGAAAAAAATATGCGTATTTTTAAACGAGAATTCGTATTTATAAACTTCTAACAAAGTTCATTATTTCTACCGTAAATATTAGACGCGTACAATTATGATAATTTACTTGAAGACCTTAGATAACTGAAGCGAATGAAAACAAAGTTCACAATTTCTTTATAATTATATATACCTTCGCGCACCGGAAGTCGAGCCATCCGAACTTTGCTTCTGGGCGTCCCCGCGCGGAACGCCGTCCTCGAATCCTGGCTACGCAACAAATAAATTGATATTGTCAGAAGCGAGGGGACTAAAATCTCCTCCTGCGTCAATGAAATATCATTCATGTGTCGTGCGTGTCACACAGACTGCACTATAAAATATAAAAAGTGAAACTTACGAAGTACTCTCGAAGATGATGTGCTTGCAAATTGCATTATATATTTTTTTAATTACGCGATTGTTAGGAAGGGAACCACTTACAGCTAGATGCAAATGTTGAAAAAGCATAAACTATGTAAAACAAATAAAGTTGACAAATGAAAACCGGCGAATTAATTATTATGTTTGAAGCTCATATGAGCAGTAAGTAGGATTATCCTCGTGACCGCGCAGCCTGCATTCATTTAATTAGTACAGGAATACACTTTACCGTCCGCGCAAAAAGTGCAGTCGGCGATTCAATTAAAGAAATTAATTAGCGTGGAACCCCCTTTGCCCCCGCCCCCTCCCCTTCCTCCTGCTTTCCTGCCGAGTCATCCGACGCGCGGCATTTCTCCCGCGCCATTTTGCCAATTAATGCAGCAATTGTGTTTGTCCCTTACGCAGAAAGCCGAGGAAAAACACGAATCGCGCACCGCAATTTTTTTAATTGATCATGAACAAAATGTAAATTGCTGCGGTTGATCCTACAATGCCTGCGCAACGGCAAGATAATCGTCTGACGCAGATTTCGATTTAAAGCCCCGATAATTTTATTTGTCGTCGAAACTTCTTGCCGAATCCAGAAGTGACATTTAATAAAATTCTTGCGAAGCGTTTGTAAATAGAACAATCACGTGTAATCTTGTTAAACACGCACGTATATACGCATATGACGGTAATCACTGTTAGTCGACTGGGTGCTTTTCATTTAACGATGCACACAAGTCGACACGAGCGTCATTCTGTTTTTTTTTTCAACATCCAGTGCAACAAAGACAGAATGATGCGTCAATAAAATGGGGAGCACGCACTTGTTATCTCACTGATGTCGTTATTATCGCGCGTTAATTGCTCGAGAGTCGAGAAGATGTTACGAACGTTATACGAGGAGAAAAAACCGACCTGTATCACTTCCGGCGTGATGGATCTCGCGGGCGAAACCGGCGGTGGTTTATGACGTAAGGAGGCCGTCGGCGTTCCAGGACCGACGCCGGAGGACGACGACGACGTGTGACTCTTGACGGTCTGCCTCCGGGCCTTGGTATCCCTCTCCTCCTGGACGGCGCCGCCGTGCTCTGGGCTCTGCAACAACAATTCCGAGATCTTCCCTGGAAATCCTGGAGTCGCACGCAAGCCAGCTTAAATTCATTCCGATGTAACATTATCCCCCCGGCAGCGTTTTATGCTCCGAGCTAACGTTGCTTATTGCGCCGGAATATACATATATTTCACGGAATTCGCGTTTAGCATTGAAATCACATTGAAAAAACGGCATACAAAAATTTGTATGGCTTGTAAACTTGTTGCGATAACAGGCCGTGCTATTAATTCTGTTTTCCATCAAACTCCGGCAAATAAAATAACAATAAAATAACAGAACGCGCATATTAAACTTGCGTTGAATATATATTTGCAATGCTTTCAAGATATTAATTGTAAACTAAAACATAAACACACACATACACACACACATACGCGCGCAGTAAGTACATCCAGTATACACACATATACATCCACAGTATATACGTTCAGGAAAAAGCTAGATTGACTTTAAAGAAGAGAGAGAGGAAATTGAAGTAGACAGCAAGAGGAAAATATATGGTGCAGATAGTCCCGCGGAGTTGTTTGAAAGAGATCCATACTTATTTTAGCAACGAGATAAACTGCGCAGGCCGTCCAGATAAACCGGTCGGAATGAATTAGTACAACGGAAATATTTGCCGAGCATCTTGAATTGTTGCCAAAGTAACTGCAATTGAGCGGGAGTTTAATTCCGTAACGCGTAAAACAGACGGGCGATGATGCGCGCGTGGCATGGAGATCCCCGCGACGTGTCTTCCTCTTTTCCCTTTCAACGGAGTCTCGAAGGAGGGGGATCTCGATTATATTTCGAGAAGGTTAACGATTTTGTCTCATAAACACGTAAAGTCGACGATAAAACGACAGTTATGTAGAACTACGCTATTAGAACGCGATGGTGATCCTCGTAATAAATTGATAGGGGAACATCTGTGCGTAAAAGTTCGGCTATAAAAATTATTTATATGTCCCACGTGCATATGACTCTGTTTCCTTTTTTTTTCTTGTTTTTTTTTTCGACACGTGCACTTTTCGAAAAAATCGACTGAAATATGCGGACATATACCACTCGCTGGAACGAAAAAGCACCCGTCTGTATTCGACAAATTCGATGCAAATCAAATTAAACACGATGCGACAAATTTTTGTCAGTGACCCAAAGGTATTACAACGCATTTCAGTAAAAGCGATATCCTCGCAATCGTATTTGTATTTTTCTATGTAATAATGCAAACAATTCGTGCAACACGTGTTTGCCGATTAATATCCTCTTTGTACGAGACAAACGCGTTTCCTTTTTGAAGAAACGCCCTTACACGAGACTAATTGAAGTCGTATACGCCCACACGCAGAACAAAAAAATTATAACATGGAAATAACGTCGAAATAGCTCCGAAATAATTATCGAAAGCCACTTTTCGATTCATTCTAACGTTCATTTTGCCGTTATCGCGATCCGCTGTTTCGCTTGGATTAGCAACACACGTGGACCAGCGGCCAGGTCAGCAAACAAAATCGGTCAGCCTTGACTCTCGCCAACGCGGAATATTTATTAAATTTCTATTTTTCTTCACTTTTTCGACGATCGATCGAGGGAGAGGCGGAATACGGATACACGTTTCCGCATAAGCTCGCTTCCGCGGCTTCTTGGAGTTCTATTACTCGGAACTTGTGGAACATTCAATTTCGCTCCTTCCGATATAAAAGCCTTCCCACGGTGCCGCTCTGGTAATCTATGCCGTAAGTCAAAGTAAACCCCGGTTGTTTACGATGCGATTTACGATTGCGTACGTACACACACGTTCTCTCGCGAACGCGCGGTGCATCAGCGGCTGTATCTCGAGCGATCTCGCCTGTAGGCGATGCGCGCTGACGAGAGTTAAAGAGACCGGCGCACGCGCGCGCGCGCGCGTGTGTTCGCCGAATTTGGATCGGAAGATGCGCCAACGGAACTGTGCCGTTTTTCCGTTTTAATATAAGAACGTACGACAAAGGTGACGCATTTGCGTCCAAAGAGCCGGTGCATCGCGACGCCTGGTAACGACTGAGCCGAGTGACATCAGGTAAACCGCCGTCGACCAGGCGGTTTCGTGCACGAAACTGAAGTTCCCGCGAGCGAGGGCGAGAGAGGTCGGCGAACGGGGGACGCCGCCGGGGGTTCATACAGGGGGAGGGGAGTATAGAGGGGGGACAAGGGCGGAGGGTGAGCTCTCGTCGATGGTCCATGGTGTCGATGATGGGCGCGCTCGTTCGGAACGAGGTGAACCACTCTTTCCGGCGAACCGCATCAACCCTCCACCTCCCCCTCCGACTTTCACTGGCGATCAGACGAGTGCACAACCCTTCTCTCTCGCCTATACTCCATCCCGCTTCTCGTAAAAAAAAAAGAAGAAATACGCGTTCGAAAGATCGATAAAGATCGTTGCTACAATTATAGAAATCGTCTACCATCGATAAATTTTAAATACACCGATACAATCGCGTGATCGAAAAGATTAGCTCAAGTTCGAAAGATTGGCGAAAGTCAACCGTCGTTTGATTAATATTATTGTCTTATAAGCGATTAATTTAACAACAGTATTTTTAAAATTTTTAAATTTTGGAGGAAAGCGAAGCAAAGAAATTTAAACGTATATAGTGCCATCAATAATGTATATAAAATTATACGCAGATTAATTAATTAGAATTAATTAATGAAAAATTTGCGTCTTTCGATACGCTTTTTCGATAAATTGGATCACGAACACTATCTAAGTGTCTTTACAATAGCTTTTCATCGTTCCCCTCGTTCTTCATGTTTGTCATCACTTTACATCTCCATTGTTGCGTCTCTCTTTCTCTTTCTCCCTCTTCTTTCCCTCGCTACCACTCATCGTATAGAGATTTATTGGAAAGATCGACCCGGGTGTATCATACGCGTACAAGAGCTGTTCACCAATATAATGGCTCTCATGTTCTCTCTTTCATCCTTTTCATTTATCTCTCTCGTTCTTTCTCTTGTCCCCTCTCTCGCTCGTTCTCTCTCTCTCTCTCTCTCTCTCTCTCTCTCTCTCTCTCTCTCTCCATCCTATTCTTTCGCGCCTTCGCCACTCCTTCTCTCCTGCTTTTTCTCACGCTTTCTCTCTCCGTCTTCCAATTAATTCGCGATTCGCGTATGTATGTAGGTATCTCGACTGCATCGCCCATTCTCCCCGCGCGTCGACGATTCCGCTCGACAGAATCGAGCGAGCGAGCGTACCGATTGAAATTTCGGGGAGAGTCGACGTCACTTTCAGAGCCATGTCGCGAGACCGTTTCGCCAATCGCCGTGGCTGCGGCAAACAGGTGCAGCGCTATCATGGGCACCTGACACCTAACGTTGAAACGGCACTTGACAATATTCGTTAAACCAGGTAGCGAAACCTGTCTTTCCCCGGCGTTCGTTTCAAAAGCTAATTTCGCGGCATCAAAAAATAGTCCGTGCTCCTCGGCGAAGCCAAAAATAACACGAACGGTTGTCGATGATCACACGATCGCACGAAGGAAGTTTATATTAGCCTCCCCCCCTCCGGTAGCTAGTTCGCTATTGAACAACGTGCATGTCGATGTGTTCGAAGTTAACTTTTAACCGAAAGCTCGTCCTAGAGCTCGGACACTGGGCCTATAGTCAACGCGAAGGCCGCGCGATCAGTGTCGGAGTCGCGACAGATCGTTGCAAATTTTTACCGTCGAGAGAGATTACGAGCTCGTTCTGCGAGATACTGCGCTCGTCACCGGCATCTCAAAAATTTATCGTCCGTCACTGACGAGGACAACAAAGTCACGCCTGACGCCAGCGGGCGCGTAGAGAAGCGCGTCAACAATCGGAGACGTCAATGTTAAATTTACATTGGCGCCGCGTGTATAGCGTCACCTCGCGCGAACGCGCGCGCGTATATCCGATCGTAAGATGCCAATTGTAAAAGAGGCAAGAGAGGAGCCAGCTCGAACCGGCGCGGCGCATCTCGCGCGCGCGCTCGAGGTCGTAAAAATTCGCGATCACCGGATAAAGATTCGCGACGGCGGCGCGGCGGTATAATAAAAGTTCGCCGAGCGGTGGGATTGTTTGCGTTGTACGCTCCGCGAGGTGATTTCGCCGTCTACTTTTCTGTAGACGCTAACATTTCGCAAGTATCGCCATTGCACACACACATACACACACGCACATACACACACATACACAGTATGCCGTCCCTGTATCCCAGGCGTTTCTGCATCCAATTTCGCGTAATGTGTCTATCGGCGACGCTTTGGAGGACAGGCGAAGCGAACGTTAAACGGCGGAGCGCCTAGGGCCGGCGCTGCCATTCAACGACATTACGGAGTTCAATTTCGTCCCTGCGTGGGACTACGATGACGGCGGTAACGTCCGGTTAGCGGAATCGATCGCCACGGGTACGGGTTAATTGCGAGGTGAAACTTTCGTACCTTGCAAATCGAGTCAGCTCAGCGGCGCGCGGATTTATAATGGCGAACCTCGCCGAAGGACCTAGCCCGCACACACAAAGTCTGACTTTCCGTTTGCGCGTAGATTGTCGTCAAACGCAAGCGGAATAATCCTTAGATTACATTACGAAATGTCGCGAGGTATTAATTGCGAGCCGGTTCGAGGCAGTAAGATAGAAATTGGATTACGGGGGAAGTTTATTTTAAATTTGCATACCCGAAATAATTGACAGTAAGATAATTTGATTCATTTAATCAAGGGGACATTAGTAACAGTTACAGAAATTTTCCAGCGATTTGATTGTCGAATTATACGCTCAAGCTAAATATTATCTCTTACTTTAATAACGTGCCTCAATAAGCTCTGATTGAAAATATTAATTCTACTTCTCGTGACACACGCCGGCTATATTTTAAATTACTCCCCTGCAAAGATTAACGTGAAAGAAGAAGAAAAAGTACATCGTGAAAAGTTGCAGACTATAAAACGACGTGTAACGTAAACGTTACGCGAGTTACTGGAGGTAAAGCAATGTCGTAAATTTCAGCGGCTGTAAAGGGTTTAGCTGCACGTCGTGAATTTATTTCCCTCAGGAATGTAGAGACTTTTTCATGAGCAAGGTTAAAGCTCGCTTCCAATAGGAATGTAACAAACTCGCGGGGCAGGCAGCACCTTTCGGAAAGGAATATTTATTTTCACTGGCCACGTGATTAGTTTTCTTTTTCTCATCAAGATACGCGATATTCACATGAAGAGGGGAGAAAAATCAATACTCTGCCAGATTCGTATATATCTCTCTCTCTCGTCATTATAATACATCTCGCGTTGTCAAAACGTAAACGAAAGAGAGAAAAAAAAAGACTGGAAAACGTCGATGGAAAAATAAAAGTTCTCTCGATAAGAGCAACGACGGCGTTCGGGAAACTTTTGTAACGGCGTTAAAGCCGGCTGACAAACTCGAGTCTCGAGGACGAGCGCGCGGGCAAAGTGCGGGGCAAACATCGATATTCCCGGTCGTGACCGAGATCTTACCAGATTCACGAGGGACTGGACGACGAGGCTGACAGGATTTCCGGCAGCTTGTATAACTTGCACCGCACGCTCGTGCGTACTCTGCCGCAGGTCGACGCCGTCCACCTCAATTATTCTATCTCCAATCTGAAAGCACGCGCGTATATATACGCAAGTTAAGTCTCCAGGCACTGCAGCTCGGGAGAGAGACTATAACGTCGCGGCGCAATTGTGGACTATTAAATTTTCACACATTCACAAATGCCGCTCGCGAGCGCTGGGAACGGGGGAAGGAAATGCCACGTGATATCATTAAGATTGCAAAATTGAAGTTAGCAAATATATATTTTTACAAAACAAAAAGTTGGTATACCGCGCTCGGTGCGCGGTCCGCGTGTTTTAAAGCGAAACGCGTATATATAACATACACATTTGTACAATACATACAAATGTGAACCTTCTCGCCGTGATAAAAATCTTTATTGGGGCAAAAAACCGCGCGGCGAGCAGTTCCCGTCCCCTAGCTTTATTAAAGTTTTTATAGTTTGCAACCTGGAGACGCCGGGAGCTGCTCTCTCAAATAGGGTGAAGAAAATACAATTTCCGCGGTCGACGGTAAAGGGGATCGTTTCGAGGAAACCGTATTTACCTTGAGACCGCCGGTTCTACCGGCCGGGCTGTTCGGCAGGACATTCTTTATGAATATTCCGGAAATGTTCTGCGTCTTGCTAGGCCCGCCGTTGTGCAGATCGACCTGAAACAAGAAAGATCGATCGCTCGTTCAGCGTCCGCGCTCGTTCTAACTACCGCCCGCCGCTAAACGGCAGGATCAACAGAGCCGTGATTAGTCGATTCAGCCGCCGACAATTCACACAGTTTCAAATCACAGTTAGATTTGATCAGCGCTCTATATATCTAACATCGCTCTATCTAACGACGACTGTGCAGCCGACCCCCGGAACCTCCTCCGTTAACTCCCGGGACCACGTCGCCGCGGGCACTGGGCATTTGAGACAGATTCCAGCCTCCCTCCCGTGATTTCCGAACTCCCCCGCTCCAATTTCTCCTCGGTCATTCATTCTCATTAATCTCCCATTGGTTTGTTGCCGCATCGTCATGCGCTAATCGAATTAAAGCAATTATTTAACACCACAATTCAGCGTGTATATATCGAACAATCGATTGTGCCCCTCTCCTCCCCCTCCCCTCCGCGTCCCCCTACGCGCGCTCTCGCGCGTATGGAGAAACAAGCGCGATCCCTATTTAATTAGTAGCGAATTCTATTTTGCGCGGCGATCGTTGCGTTATTTATCGGCGGGATTATAATACCCGCACGTGCCCAAAATCAATTATCTCTCTCTCTCTATCTCCCTCTGTAACTGGAGGTAGCAAATAATTATATAGTTTAATTGGATACAGAGTCACGTTATCCAAATGCGAAATATTCCAATAATTTATGTGAAACGCAATTTTGAAGAATTTTTAAGGCAACTGCGGGTGAGGGAGGGAGGAGGAGGGGAGAACGCGGAAGGAGAGGGGGTCGGCTAAACCCAAAGCCGATGATCCTATTATGCCTTCTTGCCGGTTTAACGTCGAGAAACTACTCGGCCGGCGCACTAATCCACTTCAACCGATGCACACGTACGCAGTCCGTGTCACCGATATCACAACGGCTCGCGCCGCGTGTGCATCGATAAAGAGTTAATTGATTAAATTCTATTCCGCCGAACTAGCTGTTCGCCGATCCGCGCCGCTCGCGCGGCGCGCGATCAATAACAGGCCCTTTTAAACCCGCGCGTCGCGCGCGAGGAATTCATTCGCGGGATCGCGGGGTCGAATCTATTAAAATACCCACCCACGCCCCTCGAAGCCCGCCGCACGAGCGCGTGCACGTGACAGTTTATTACTTGTTAAAATCTGACATTAATTATCGGGCCGAATTATTGAGTTACAAGATCATCCGAGCGCCGCGAGATAGATCCATCAAGACGCGTCCGTTTTACCGGCGCACAGCCATCTGGCCCGACCTACTTGCGACTTCGAACTCTGTCCGAATGTTTCAATATATGTTTCGCCGTCGTGCTAGCATTCCTCCGATTTTAAAGGCGAGGCTATAAAACAACCCAAGAGCGGATATCGATGGGGAGGAGGAGGAGGTGAGTCGACAAGGCACACAGGGGATA